CCCTCGGCTGGAGCTCATCCGGGCCTGCCGACTTAAAGGCATCCAGTTCTTCCAAATGACTCTGCACCATCTCAGGGTCTACACATGGTAGTCTGGCGTCTTGCTGCTGCCTCTCTACAACCCCAGTGAGAGACTTGTCGTGCCCTTTGCTTAGGCACACTGAGGCAAAGAACTCGTTGAGGAGTTCAGCCTTGTCCCCTCTGTCTGTCACCAATTGTTTCTGCCCATTTAGCAGGGGTCCTATTCCTCCCTGGGCCTTCCTTTTACTCCCTATATATCTAAAAATCAATTTCTTGTTGTCTTTTACTTGGGTTGCCATCCTCAGCTCCATGGCAGCTTTGGCCCGTCTGACTGCCTCCCTACAAGCACGAGCAGAGGAGGTGTATTCGTCTTTGGTGATCTCTCCCTGTTTCCACTTTTTATGTGCTCCCCTTTTGTCCCTTAGGCTGCCCTGGATTTCTCTGGTCAGCCAAGGAAGCCTCCTGGCCCTTTCCCTCTTTTTCCTCGCATCAGGATTATCTCCCTTTGTGCCCAAAGGATTATTTCCTTAAGGCACAGCCACCCTTCTTGGGCTCCCATCACTTCAAAACTCCTACTCTGCAGTGCGTCCTTGACTAATCGCCTGAGTTCATTGAAATCAGCTTTCCTAAAGTCTAGCACTTTCACCCTACTAGTTACCTTACCCACTCGTCGTCTTATGGTGAATTCTATTATTAGGTGATCACTGTCCCCCAGATGGCTACTGATCTGTAGGTCCTCTACCATGTCATCCCCCGTTGCCAATACCAGATCCAGTATGGCATTCCCCCTAGTGGGCCCATGTACCTCCTGTGTCAGGTGGAGGTCCTGTACACAGGTTAGAAACCTGTGTGAGCAGTGGGACTTTGCCGTCTGTGTCTCCCAGCAGATGTCTGGGTAGTTTAGGTCCCCCATGACTACCGCCTCTTTAGCTTTTATGGTCTCCGTGAGCTGCCTCAGGAGCCTCGCATCTACTTCTTCCCCTTGATGTGGGGGTCTGTAGCAGACCCCTACCACCAAATCCCTTTCTCCTTGCCCCCCATGTAGCCTAACCCACAATCCTTCTACTTCCTCATCCTTGGATTCCGTCTTGATGAGGGTTGATGTATATTGCTCATTGACATAGAGCGCAACCCCCTCCCCCTTTTTTCCCCACCCTGTCCTTTCTGTACTATCTATAACCCTCAATATGTACCGCCCAGTCTTGGGACGAATCCCACCAGGTTTCCGTTAGCCCTACTAAGTCATAATCTTTGCTGTATATTGTAAACATGGCAGGGGTCAGGTGGGGTGGGGTGGGAATTGCCTTCATATATCAAAAAATAAGATAAAATGTCAAGGGCAGACATTTTTTATCAACTTAATAGAAAAAAAATGCTACATTATTAGGCTATCTGGTAATTATTTAATCTTTCTACTAAAGGATTGTTAATGATTGTATTTAAGAGAGAAAATTGAATGCAATAAGTGATCTTCACTGTTCTGGGAAATGCTATCACAGCTTCATCCTGCTTGAAATATGGGAAAGGAATTAAGTGTTCATTTCTGATGGACTGGATTGACATGGAGGGGAGAAAAGTTTTGCATCCTCTAATGGGAGAGATCACTTGTTCAATTTTGTACCCCAGCTGAAGTATTATGTAATTGCAGTGGCATTTCAGAAGCAGAGCATGCTTCCCATACTTAATTTTTTTATACATTCTCTTATGCAGCACAACAATTTTACTTTATTTTATGTAAATTAAATTCTGAAGTCCTCAGAGATTGAAAAGCATGTATTTCATTTAATTAGGAGTCATGCTGGAGCACAGATGTAATAGACTAAGCAAGCACTCCAGTGTTGACCTATCATACTTTTCCCACAGCATTTAGATGCTGTACAAGATTAAAGGACAGTATGCAAGAAGAGTGGATGATTCTAAATTGTTGTAGCTACTTAAACCTGCTATTGACAAAAGGTCATATATGTCACCAGTTATCAGGGAATTGGCTAAAAAGATGTACAAGTAACCTAAAGATTACTAAATTAGAATTTTGAAGAGGACTGAGGGTTTTTTCCCTTTAGAGCTTCTGGCCACCATTTTCTTAAGAGTTAAATCTGAAAAGTGACAGCAAGCATAAACTAGCTGATCACAAATCTTATGTTTCACGGCAAGGGAAAAATGTCTAAGGTTGAGAGAGTGCAACATCATGACTGATTATAAATGAAGGCTTTCTGCTAGGAGTGGATGAGTGACTGAAATTCTCAGAACCAAATTCTTCACTTGTAAGTGAAGATCTAAAGATGCCTCTAAATTCCTTAATATGCAATAGAGTGCTTATCGCTTTGGGGAATTAAATTTCACAAAACTAAGTACAAAAGTAAATATATATTTATTAGGTTCTCCATATTAATTTACAGTGTGCACAGTGTTTCTCAGGCTTTTTAAAGCATCTTTCATTCCCTGCTTGATACTTAGTTTGCACGCAGATTGTTGTAGGTTGCCATTGTTTTGGGAGATGGGTATGGTTTTTTTATTTAAAAAAACCAAAATAGGTAAGCTGACCAAAAGATTTGTATATAATCTTTAAGTACTGATTGCCTTTAATTAGAAGTTTAATCCAGGATCCTCCAGCATGCAACTGAGTCCTAAATTATATTTTATCCTTTACATTTCTGTTTGAGGTTCTCCAAGTATACTGCTCTCCAGCTCCCTTGCTAAGTGGTGCTTCAGTTTAGAGTATGCTGGGAACATCACAACCTGTGGTGAACTGCATTTGGATATAGATCCAGCCTGTGGAAGCTCAGGTAAGTGTAATTTTTTGGTTTGTTTTTTTAACTATATGGCACAGTTTTGCTAATATTCTTTTTCAAAATCTTCATCCCAAAGGATTTTAAATACTATTTTTTCAGAATTTTTACAAAACCAAGCCATATATTAAAAAAAGAGGCACTTACCTGACCTTATCTAGGCTGGTTCCATGCTCCTGATTAGTTCCCTGCCTGAGCTGTGGTGTCCCAGCATTTTGAATCCTGCAGTGCCACTTGGAATGGGAGCTGGCGATCTGTGGCTTCGGGGGACTTGAAAAGGAGAGAAAAAGTGAGTTTAAAACAACTACATGTTGATTCCTTTTCTTTACAGTGCCACGTGAGATGTTTAGCCCATTCTCTATTTGTTTTTTAATTGCTTGGAGATTGTATTCCACATGAAATATTTCAAATGCAGTAAAATCAGAAATCACTGAGCTGAATTTTAAAAAGTACAGCTTATTTAATTCTGCCTTAGCAGGAAGATGGTTGGGACAGCCTAAAAATCTTCTTATTGCTAACTTCTATTGATTAACTCATGCCAATACCTACTTCTTATATGTGCTACTGTAAAATATCTACATTCCATTGAATAGCTATGTTCTTTGTTGTTTTGGTCTGCAAAATTAGATACTTGAATTTGTTATTGAAGGTTTGTAAATACAGGATAGACGAACGTTTGTTTGGGATGGTGGAGATGCATATGACCCTGGTTTGAAAAACAGGTTAGACTAGCTGCAGCCTCGTTTATGTGAAACTACAGTGAATATACAAGACATGGCAGCAGTTAATATGGTAGTTTGGTCACACCCCAAATTACCTAAAACTGAATTAAGGAATTGATGTGAAGATTTTAACGTTGCCTACATTTCAGGGCCAACAAAGTATTTGATAGAATTCTTAATGATTTGTCATTTTAAGGGCTCTTTTTTATGAAAGAACATGTACGCATATAGCAAGAACTGGAGTGCTTAATATTTGGCTAGACTGTGACTAGCTATTTATAAGCATAAGAAACTTTCTTTGTCCCCATCCCTTTTGCCTCTTGTATAGAGGCTTATAGAAAAGGGTGTGTTAATGGTCCTGGATTCTACTCTGTATGTGAGTGAAGCCAGCCTGGCATGGCAGAAGAGGTGTGTGCAGCATCATTATATAGACCGAGTTGTACACAGTGCACATGGAAGTTCTTTTGAGGTGATGCTTCTCTACAACACCTTTTTCCTTGGACCTGTGATTAAAATCACGATTCAGCTTACAGTTTAAATACTGCTGTGCTAAGTTATAGATGCTCTTATGAAGTGTATTACAGTTCTTGGAAAGTGCAATACTTTACTACAGTGACTCATTTTCATCAGAAAGTGCATCATTTGAATCTGTGGGAACATCTTTCACCATTTCATTTCCCAAAACAAGGTGGAGCAATCTGAAGGCCATAGCCTCAGTTAAAGGAATGGTCAGCATAATGAAGGAATGACCCTGCCATTTCACCTGCACTGCAAGGGAGGGAACGCCATCTGATTTCTATTTGCATGGCAAACCTTCATTTGTCCATTGAAGCAGAATTCATAGTTACAGTAGGGACAGTTGAGCCACCTCTGTTTCAATAATGCAGGTCTTCATCTTCTGTAAACAGTATGTAAACATTAAGTCTCTGTTAGTATACTATGAATCACTTTATAATAAAGGGTATTAAATCGCTTTTTCATGTATTATAACTGTTCACAGCAGAAGACTAACAAGCAGAACCACGATATAGTAGCCTAGGCATTGTTAACATATATTTGAAATACTGAACTAATTCATGTATATTGCCTAATATTAAGAGTGACTCAGAAATAAGATCTCTGTAGTTCTAAAAAATGACAAGGGAAATAGTTTTCACAGAGGTTGCTTAATTTCTGCATGAATGGTTTGTGCACACCATGAGATAGGTAATTAACTGATAAAGTCTAATCGAAAATTCACTTTTTGATCTTAGTTGCTGTTTTGAATGTTTCCGCCATAAAAGGAGGCTTCATAGAAGTTTGTAAAGAGAATTTTTGTGTTCAGGAATTTTTATCAAACTACTGAGATTATAGAAGTGAAGAGTCTGCAGAACTATTGAATTTTCTAATATGCCAAGTATGAGATTTTGGTTTTTTTCAGTATTTTAGGCTGCTTACAGACTTAAAAAAAAAAAAAAAAAAAAAAAAAAAAGCCCCCAAAGTATGGTGTTTTACTTTAAACTCTGTGAGCCTGCGCCAAACCCAGTGCATGCCCAGAAGAGGCTCATGTTAGTTGGACCTGGCTGTCCTAACATCTGTATAGATTTATTGCTGTAATGGGGCTTTTTTGCGACTTTTATCTAATAGATGATTGAACCTGCTATTAGATAAAAGCACCAAAAAGTCCTGCTGAGTGAGTTTAAAGTAAGATGCTGCAGAGCCAGATCGAACTAATGGGCTGCTTCTTCCGATTAAGCACACTTTTTTCACATCTGTCAGCAGCCTCAAAGTCTACATTTTAAAAATCTTTTGCTACTATTTATGAACTCTTTTCAACTCTTAAATGTTATGGGCGAATTCTTAAAACTTAACATTGTATAGTTTTGAGTTGAAAGTTGAAGTATCTTTGAAACTTTTTTAAATATTAGACAACAGTTAGTCTAATAAAACTGAGGGGGTGTTGCTCTTGTTTTGTTTTTTTGCTTGAAGAAGCAATGCAGTTTAGTTGGAGCATGAGATTTAAGAGTTGTGACTGTTTGCTCTTCCTAACATGAGAGAAGTTTAAAATATGTATTATAGTTTATTGTCCTGAATTAAACTCTGTCAGCTAATCTCAACTAGTTTGCTATAAAAAAGCTGATAAATATATTAAGACCCTGGGAAGAATTCATCTTTTTGGTTTTGATACTTATGGTATGAGTTAAAATTCTTAGACCTGGAAGGGAAAACACAGTTGCTTTGATATAGTGTTGTCAGCATACTTTTAGGGCAGATACTAAATGCTTGCCTGAAGGAATGAAACACATGGCTTTGCTTCTTTTAACACAGGTAGATAATTACGGGCCACTCAAGAAACAAATTCAGTGCTTTCTTACATTGCTGCATTATTTTAAGCTAACATATGATCATGACATTGCTGTGCAGTTTTCTGCTGCTTATATTTTAAGTTGAAATCTCATTTTTGTTTCAGATTCTCCCTCTTCTGTGGTTAACAAACAGCTTGGATCCATGTCACTTGATGAGCAACAGGGTGCGTGTGACAGGATATGCACTATATCCAATCATAGCTTATTGCAGTACATACACCAGGCTTCCTTTTTAAATTGCATTTCAGGATGATAAACAGTCTAACATGCTGTTTATCTTCACAAAGTAGAATTCCTTAATTGTACCTGCAGTTGAAAGCCTCATACTACTTAATTATAAGCTCTTCAGGACTAGTGTAAACTAATAAAAACAAACAAAAAAAACAAACCAAACCCTTGCCACCAACTTATTTTGCTTTTTATCTATATAATGCTATTCAGTATACAATAATGAATATATATAATGATTCAATAGATAATAATGCAGTATACAGGGAAGTGATCTGATGAAGAATGCCATGCATTCAAAAGCTTGTCTGACCTTATCCCAACCATATAATTGGTCCATTAAAAGTTATCACCCACAAAGATCCTTGCCTCTCATTCAGTATATATGTGATGGCTTTACTCAGGTACTGTAAATGTATTAAAAAGATTTGGATTTCTTTAATCCAAAGTGAAATTACATTTTTTAAAAGCTGATGTTTATAGATGGCGAATTTCTGTGACCCCTCATGGAGAGTCTCTTTGTGAAACTCTCTTTTAGCAATATGAAGCAAGAGTAGTCTTACTTTATGCAGGGGGTGTTTACAGATGTCAAAGGAAATTTCATACAGGATGCTAAGCTCCACTGAGCTACATTCTGCTTGCTGTTATGTGTGTGTAGCTAAGGGCAAAATTCGGCCATTCTTTTTGATATGTATACTCCTTGATTTAAAATATTTCTTGATAAGAACAAAATAAAATAGAAAGAAGGTGTGAGCCTCAAAACGGTTGAATACTTAGGATACCCCAGTAGCCTGTAGAATTTTACTGGAAGGCTGAGAGGCTTACCTGCTCTGATCACAGCTAGAACCCAGCAGTGGCAAAATAAATCTGCAAGACATCAAAAAGCTTTTGTTCCCAGAAATCAGGCTAAAGTATAGGAGTTGTTTGTTATCTTTCCAAGTTGGTTAATTCACTTTAGAACTACCTTGTGTAATACTACAGGAAATTGCATAAATGTAGTGAAGTTCTAGTTGCAATTTTCTATAATATCTTATACTCTTGCACTCATGTGAGATTTTTTTTTTTGCAAAACCAGTTGTTTGTTTTTATATGCTATAGAAACAAAATATTTTTTGTTTATTTAGAGCCTTATTGACACCTATTTTATGAAGGTTCATTTACGTCAGCAATTTTTTTACCATGATCTGCCAAATCCCTACGAACAGAGGAGGCTGTCGCCAGGATTGGTATAGATTAGGAATCTAGGAGAGGAAGTAATGCTTTAGAGGATCTGTCTCGCATCATTTGGTCAATGGCGGGGGGGGGTGAAGCTGACCACAATCTGCAAGAATGCACCTGCCTGACACAGGACATGGGTGTGAAGCTGACCACATTCTGCAAGAATGCACCTGCCTGACACAGGACATTGTGTCAGTGCTCCCATACAGTTGTGCTTGTCTATCTTGATTCAGTGTTGAATCAATACCAGTTAGTTTGGTGTTAGGGCTGGAAGTGATGTTGACATTACCATTTCTTATGACCAGTTCTGGTCTGTAAAGATGTCATGATATGTATTGTAACCATATGCTTAAACAGCTACTATTCTAACCACATTCTACTGTGGGTTGTTGAATATTGTCTACATACATATAATCTTGAGACTTCAGGTGGATTATGATAGTCTTCACTTGGTGTTTCACCTCAGTAGTGGCTGCAGTTCAGTAGCAGATGGACACTATGCAAGGTATACATTAGTTTAAAAGCAGCATTGTGGCTTTAAACTACTGCTTGAACTGGCAGGTATGGAAAGGTAAAGAAGTGCTGTACGCACCCAGAAGCTTTCTCAGGCATTACGCTTGTTGCAAAATGCTTTGGGAAATGTGTAAGAGGAGGCCCTTGCTAGATCTGGGGGTGACTGCGTACCCATCCTGTGCCAATACATTACTTCTTAACTGGGGAGGGAAGGGAGGATGGGGATAGAGACAAAAGATCTAACCCTAACCTCTCCCTTGCCCTTCTTCCAGTTTCTAGACCATTCTGGGCAGTGGATTTCCAAAATTTTACAAGTCTTATAAAGTGTGGGCTTTGAAAAACAGAGGCTTTGAAAAACTCCTTATCCAGTAAGAGTGCATTATACTCTCTGATTGAACAGTATACCTAAAACTGGATAATAATTAGGACACTTGGATAATGGATTGATTACTGGAACTGACTAATCTTGAATCCTTGTTTTGTTTCAGTTCTTCTCCTAACCATAGCACTTATTGAGCCTTTTACTGACAGACAGCTGCATCTGGGCCCCTGACAGACATTCACTTTAAGATGTAATGGGATCCAATTCTTGATCCCAACAACTGCATGTCCTTCCATGCCACATGCAATTGTGGGACATGCAGGACACGCAGTTGTGGGATTGGGGATTTGATCACTATTGTGCATTACTTGCTTCAGCAAGACAAACCCAATCAGCTGATTGTCAGTTCCAGCCAGGAACCTAGCCAGTCCCTAGCCCCAGCTGACAAGTAGTTCTGCATGTAAGGCTCTATAAAACAATGTGTGCTGCCCAGCTGAGGCACATGTGATTTTGACAGGTCTTGGTGCATGGGGAGCCTGGCATGGGGCTGCTGCACACAGGCAGCACATGGAGTTTTGCAGGTCTTGATCTCATGTTCAGTCTAAAGCATGATACAAACAAGCCAGAAAGTTTTTTTTTCTACGTGAATAAGCCACGTTGTGACTCATTTACTGCAGTATTATGTCTTAAATTGAGTTGCATAGCTGCCCATTTACTATTTAAAGCACAGTTAGCCTGTTAATTGTTTCTTAAATGTAATGTGCGTCAGGGGCGGTAATATTTTCCAGTGTACAGGGTTTCTCCTATTACCTCTGAAGTCAGCTGTTGCTGATGATTTTGTGGTGGAGAGTCTTTGTGTAGAACTTACTCCTGTCCCCTGAAATTCATCATAGTTTTGAACCTCTTCCATTCAAAGAAAGCATACTTGCAGTTGTACCTCTGGAGTGGGCACTCCTGATTCTCTGTTGACTTCCTTTTCATGAGGATAGGTGGGTAAAGGTTGAGTATGAAACTGAACGTGTGAAGATCATCAGGAGAGACGGATGAGAAATGATTCTCTCGTCTTGAAAAGTGTTTCATGATTTCCATTTTTTTGTTCTGCATCCAAATGGATCCAAAATGTTTTGAATTGTTTTTCATGAAAAGCTACCTGCCCACCTACCCTGCAGGAGACTACTCTGTATGATTCAGACAAGGAACTTAGTCTCCCATGTTAGAGATGAGCACCCTACCCACTAGGCAGTGAGCTTTTTTGGGAGTGCCATATCACCCGGTCTCTTCTGTTGGAGCTGTTCCACTTTGAATAATAAATATTCATTGGAGCAGAGACTTGAACCATTGTCTCCTACATTCCACGCAAGTGCCCTAATCACCACGCTGTATAACATCTCTCTATCTGCCTCAGTCTGTCTGCTCTGCTGGAGCTGATCCACTGTGTATAAATAACTAATAAAATATCTATTGGCCATAGAGAAGTAAGAGAAATGAACTCAGTAGTTTAACTGGAATAGGGGAGTATGAGGTTCAGATTCTTGCTCTGAATCGAGCAGAGAAGACTTGAAAGCATCCCCTAACTTTGGGGCCATTGGCTGCTCTGGGGAGAGTCTCTTTGGTTTTGACCATCTTGGCTTCAGGAATCCTTTCTGTCCAAATGGTTGCTCCTGAAGCTATGGTTTTGAAGACATCTTTATTTTCTGATGGAAAAAATACTGCATTGAAGCTTCTCTGAGCAGCTCTTAATTATGATGCAGACTGCGTGGCAACTGGAATGAAGGGTGGTCTGAAGCCAGGAAGGCTTCGTATTTCTCAGGATATGAGTGAGTGATTATCTCAGACTCCATTAAAATTCATTACTAATCATAGTTTTAAAGCTTTATGCTTCTTTCTGTCTTAGTATACAAACAGTTTTACATTTTCAGTACAACATTTTACAGGTTACCTTTAATTTACACGCAGGTCTATTCAGAGTACTGCTTCCTAGCAGATGGCAGAGTCTTTAGCTTCTAACTTTTAGCTAGGCAAAGTACAGATGTGCCTCAGCATTCTGAACATTTTGCAGTGCAAAGCTTTATTTTTTATTCATTTGATGTGCACAGATTCAATTTTATGAGAATATAAATGGATTTTGAGTTTTTCTCTTGCTCTTTATGCATAAAATTGTGAATAAAATTAAATATTTCTAAATAGAAAAGGAACAAAAATTCACTTTTTTTGTATAACAGCAACTGGAAAGTGGACTTTGCCCTAGAGTATACTTTCCTATTGCAAGGAAGTAATAATTTGGTAATTTGTGAAATAATTTGGTAAATGTCTGATACTACCATTTGTCATATATGCTGATATCACACCTAGGACAGCTTTTCTGATATGGTTATTTCTTCAGAGTACTTTCCAAGGAATTTGCAGCACTCACTGGCTCCCTGTAACTTAATTTGTTAGTGCTTCTGCATAGGTTATTAGCTTTGGAGATAGAAATTCACTATTTAATTTCAACAGCATAGCTTCCTCACTAATGTCCTGCTTGGTTGAATCAGTTAGGGATGTGGCTATATAGTACATTTACCCTGTCCATTCTTTCTTTATTCTTCCTGAAAATTATTATTGTGATTGGAAAATAGTCTGTGCTCGATCAATTTTCTGTTGTAGACGCTGGTCATTTAAGTACCAGATGGGAACGAATTAATTTATAACACGTAGCACCCACACAGCTTTCATTAGCAATGTGGATTTACCTAGATACCCATATTTCAATACCTCATTACCAACCTCTTGGCCTGTCTGTTCCTCATGATTTTAGTTTTAATTTTATATCATTAACATTTGTTTAAAAATTGAATCAAATCCAATTTGGAGTTAATGTTACAAAACTTTTTAAATCTAAGATTATATATTGGAAGATAGCCAGGAAGTATCTATTGAAAGTTTACCACTATTTTATCAGTTACTTTTCTCTAAACTTTTTTCTCCAAACAGTTACTAATTCCACTTTAAAGCTGGTTGTGATAGTTGTTATTATAGCTGTCTATATAATTTACTTGAAGCAATGTCTTTGTGCACTCAAGTCTTGAAGAGTTAGAAGTCACTACAGCAGTCAAATGGAGTAGGACAGGTACCTGGAATATCCTGGAATAGTTTCTAAGGTCAAAAATAATCATTCGCTCAGTTCTGTGCAGCAGGATATGGTGGCTGCTTTATGGGTCACCAGTAGTGATGATTTTTGCACTGAGGCAAGCATTGCAAAGCAAGATCAGGACATTGCTTTGTGATTATTTTATGGCTTGTATTGTATTCTATTCAAAATAGTAAATCATCTTTCCATTCCTGTTCTGACTTCTGAAACATGTTGTCTCTCATTGGCCTGGCTTTTATGGGTTGGGGGATAAAGATTCCATAAGCTCCTTTTTGACTCCTACTGTTGCAAACTTTCCTATGTTTTGATTTGCTTACCACTTTGTGCATCAGAATAGGGGTGTGATACAAAGGGCAGGTACTGACAAGTTGCCATGAACTTGAAATATGTACATTTTAAAGCAAAAAAGTACTAATTTTCACTCAGAATCTAACCATATTGTTTTCTTGTTCTTATTCAGTCTGTGATGAGTTTGATTTCAGGAGCAGTAAAACCATGTGTTTGACCAGATTTCTCTTCTACCTTGACAGGATAGGGCAACTGAAGCCTTTATTTTTAAAACAGCCAGGACCTCCACTCTGAATACCTCTTATGCATAGCTACTATAGTGAGGCTTGTGTGTAATTGTCATAATGACTTATACAAAACAGGATACCCCTTTAAAAACAGTTTTGTAAACGTATACTTCATATGTCCCTGCTTCTTAATTTTTTTTATATTTTAATTGTGCTTAAGATACACATTTAACATTCTTAATATCAAACGATTGTTGCCCTGATACCCTGCTTGACTTCCATCAGTCAATAGTTTATACATCCATGAGTTTTCAGAGGCAAATTATGCTCTCAGATGTATTCATTTATGGCTCCTATTGACTTTAAAGGAAGTCGTATATAAGTATCTAGTTGTGGAATTGTTTCAGTAAGCCTGATATGCCTTTGCACTGTATAGTTTCTTCAAGTTATTTATGCATGTATTGAGAGAGATTTTGAAGTATCTTTAGAATAATTACAAAATAAATTAGTCAGCCAATCATGTCAGAGTTTTAACTGGTCTGTTAAACTGCATTATTATGCAGTTAGTTGCGTATTTAACCATTGGATTTAAATTACAGAAATTCAGTTTGGAAAAGGAAGAG